TCCACATACACGCACGCACGCACGCATACACAAACTCACACATACATGCACGCACACACAAACACATATATTTGTAAGTATATTAAAGAGATAGTGAGAAAGAGAGAAAAAGAGTAGTAAAGGACTAAGTAGAGAAACAGTGAGAGAGAGAGAGTTATAGATTTCCGGATTTTTACCAAAGCTTTTAAATTTGAACTTAACTCAGCTGCATTTTTTGTAATGTACGGATGGGCATAGGTGTGTTTCTTCAGATACGAAATACTCTATTCTCACATTCTTACAATTTGTTCTTTCTCTAGATCCATCAATTCATTTCTTCATTCATTCGTTCATTCAGTTAGTCAGTCAGACTATTGCCATCCTTCCATTAACTATCCATCCTTTATTAATTTATTATTAATATTCAGTTTTAATTTATTTTTTTTTTATAAAAAGAACCTGAAAAACGCAAATATTTCTGCAATCATCTTCAATTAATTAATCAGCTATTCAAATAAAACAAAAAATATTAATACGAATAATAATAAATAATTAAATAATAATAATCATATTAATGTCATTTATGTTTAATCACTTCATTTATATATATATATATATATATATATATATATATATATATATATATGTTGAAGGAGACCATATTTTATACAGTGTTGTACGAGTTCTAGCGAATTGTAGGCATTAATCAATTTAAAGTTTGTCTCTTCAACTTTCCTAATAAGAATATTCTGAAATTAGTCTATAAGATGGTATAGGAATATCGGAAAAAGCTTTTCCGTTCTATCCTGCTTAAATGTTCCAGCGAGCTTAAATTAAATAAAAATTTTGGTTTTCAACTCAAGAAACTTGACAATGATTTACGATCTATCGTCAGACAAATCAGAAAACTAAATAGGAAGCTAACTACCGTGGAACATGCTGTGATTTTCATATATATATATATATATATAGACAATAATATAAGACATATATATATATATATATATATATATATATATATATATATATATATATATATATATAAATATATATATATATGGATTAGTGAAATTAGGTAAGATTTAATATAAATTAATCGCATTTAATGGAATTTAATTATATATATATAATTTGGAATGAATAAAAAATTAAAAAAAAATGAATGAACGAACAAATGAGTGAACAAATGATTGAATGAACGAACAAGCTAAGTAAAAATAAATGAAATAAGTTTACAACCAACCAACCAACGACAACACAACGATAGAAAGAATGAATGTATGAGCTACGAAACGAATGAGTGAATGAATGGATTAATAGATGAATGAATGAGTGGCTGAACGAATAAATGAACGATTGAATAAGCAAATATAAAGTAATAAATGTATGACAACAAGTGCGGACCAAAGGCGAAAATTGGAGTTCCTCAAGGTTCGGTGCTATTTGTTATCTACATTAATGATATCGACTCTGGCCTAATGTCAAAGATATCCAAATTTGCAAACTTGAATGCAGGGATAGACTAAAAGAATGCGGATTAACAACAATAGAAAGGAGAAGATGCAGAGGAGGTCTGATTCAGACATATAAGTTAATAACTGGAAAAGAAGAAACACCGTTCACCAGGTTCTTTCAACTAGAAAATAAGAAAGGATTAAGAGGTCACAGATAATCCAGTAAAGCAAAAATTCTTCAGCAGCAGGGTGGTAAACGCTTGGAACGAGCCAAGCGATAAAATTGTCACAATGGATTCAATCAACAATTTTAAAATCAAGCTAGGATGCTAGGACATTTATTTTGTAGTGGTTCTTACACAGACGCTAATCTACTAAACCATTTTAAACTTTGTTAAGTTATGAATGAATGAAATGAAACCAAAACGACAGATGAATGAATGAATGGATGAATATAAGAATGAATGAATAAACAAACAATAATAAATAGATAGAACGAGCAAACCGAGTGAACAAAGGAACGAACTAATAAAAAATGAATGAACAAACTTTAAATGTACAATTATTTGCATCTAATTCAATTTTATGTATTCAAGTCACTTGAATGATTGAAAAAAAATAATAATAATAATAAATAACAATGTTATTAATAACAACAACAATAAAAAACATTAAAAAAATAGTTATTTCAAATGTTTCAACTGATTATGTTAGGCAGGGGTGGGCAAACTTTTTTGCTGTGAGGGCCGCATTGAGAACTATTTTACCTTTGAAGGGCCGCACAACAATTTTTTTCTTTTTTCGACCCGGGGGAGAATTTTTTTAAGATTTGTGGCTTTTTTTTTGGTGATAAAGTCTGGCCGGCGACCTTTTTCTGATCGTAGTTCGCCCAACCCTGATGTGTTAGGTATTAGCACGCAATAATATCTCATTCATTCATTTCTTCATACCTTCATCCATCCACTCACTCACTCACTCATTAATTAGTCTATCGGTTTATTCATTCATTTATTTATTGATTCATTCACTCATGCCTTAATTAGATTAATGATTCATTCATGCATTCATTCCCTTAATCATTAGTCTATCTAATCAAATTAATGTCTTCTAAAAATCCATAAATATATATTTATATATAGATGATATATTACATAATATATAATTTATGTAATTATAAACATACCATTAAATAATTATTTACAATTGTAAAAAAATCTCGAAAGTCTGTAAAAAAAAACCAGCCAATGAAATGAAAGAATGGAGCATGACGTCAAACAATGCCGACCAATCAAATCATTCGATCCATATAAATATACAAGTTAGCAACTAATGATATCAAAGAATAGATATAATATTATCTCGTTCATCAGTATTCACAAAATGTTTTAATATATAATAAATAATAATAAGAATAATAATATAATAAAAAACAATAATAATAACCTAATAATTATTTTTAAAACAATTTATTAATATCGTCAATGAAATTATTATTAATATTATTAGCGAAAGAAAAAACAGAAGAGAAACTGGAATGATGATGTATAATAAATAATAATATAAAATGATAACAATAAATGGTAATAATTACTGGATAAAGATTGCAAAATATTTATCATTGTCATCATCATCTCACTCATATATATCTCACATATATATCATGGCATATCATATATATATATATATATATATATATATATATATATATATATATATATATAGCGAGAGAGAGAGAAAGAGAGAGAGAAAGCGAAAGAGAGAGAGAAATAATAATAATAAAATAAGAACTACCATAAAAATAATAATAACGATTAAAATAGTTATAATGATAATGATGGTTAACAACAAATTTATTAATAGATGATTCATTAACAAGTTAAATAAAGAGGCACAATTCATCGTCGTCATCGTCATCATCATCACCACCACCACCACTAAAATCACATTCATCGTCATCATCATCGTCGTCGTCATCATCAGCATCGTCATTCATCGTCACCACCACCAGCAAGACCTCATCACTTCACATAATATGGTAGTCACGCGCGCATCGAAGTAGGAACTTCTTTAAGGTGTTTTTTATTTCCGGCTTCAGCTCCAGGCATATGAAATCGCACAGGTACGGGTAGTAAATGGAAGCATGCTTCCGAAACTGTAAAGTGAAAAATTCTCAAATAAATAAATGAACATCCAGGTCAAATAACTAGACCAGTCACGTGATTTCTGGATGATTGATAGAAACAAGCGGAATTGAAAAAAAAAACAAATTATATTTAGGTCGGTCAAATAGATAAGTCGACCAATTGTGTGTTCTACTGATAACGCGGACCAACTGAAAAGGAAAGAAAAAAGGAACAATGACATTTCATAAACTGCCAACAAATTTAAAATGATTTACCATAATAATGAAGTATCTGAATGAATGAACGAACGAATGAATGAACGAACGAATGAACGAACGAATGAATGAGTGAAAGAATTAATGAACCGAAAATGAAACCTTGGAAGTTTCCAGCTTCATTATCCGAGTTAAAAATAGCAGCAGAAGATTGGACCAGGCCTCCCTATCACGGTCCGACTGGAGCGAGAGAAAGTACTGCAGGGCATCTGTCCCGGTCCTGTTCAAGAAAGAAAGTAAAAAAAGTTCATTCATTCATTCACTCATTCATACATTCACTCATTCTTTCATTCATTAATTCATTCATTCATTCATTCATTCACTCATTCATTCAATCATTCATTCGTTCGTTCGTTCGTTCGCTCTCACGATCAATCAGTTGAACATTGGCATGTTTGACATGAATTTGTTTCAATGAAAATGAGAATACAAAATGTATATAATGAATGACCAGATGAATGGAAGAAGAATGAATGAAAGAACAAATGAAGAAATTATGAAAGAGAGAGAGAGAGTCACGAAAGACAGTTATGAGCCAACAAAAAACAAGAGAAACGAAAAAAAATGTTTGTGGGTCAGACAGGGTCAGGGTAAAGGCTAAGGGTTAGGACAAGGATTATGCAAATGAATGAACAACAGAATGAATGAATGAATGAACGAGCATATGAATGAATGAATGAATGAATAAATGAATGAATCAGCGAGTCATTAGTAAACGGACGGATTAATAATTGAATGAAAAATTGATTGAAACACTAAATGAAATTACTCACTCAATCAGCTTATCTTCAACTTTTTTCTGAAGTTCACTACCATCATCATCATCATTAAGAACTTCACTACTATTATCAGCATCCTCAGCATCCTGATTGGCTAGCTGTTTGCTTGCAGGTATATGATTGGTCGGAATTGAACTTCCATCTATGATTGGCTGGTCACTTGGAGGAGAAGGAGGCATGCGATTGGTCGGATGATTCTTACGTGCTTGAGAATGATTGGTTGGCTGGGTGTAGAGATGGAAGAGGATTCTGAAGGCACATGCCAAACTCTGAGTCTCTTGCTTCATTAAGTTGGGCTTCATCTTACCCTTGAATCCTGGCGACGATGATGAAGAAGACGATGATGACGTTAATAAGGATGATAACGATGATGATGACAACAATGACGAGAATGAAAATGACAACGAAGCTAAAACAACAACATCAGCAACAGTTTCAGCATCAGCAGCAGCAACGAACCAGCTTTCCAGAGCAAGCTCCTCTGCTCCTGATCGGAATTGAAGGTCCGGGCGAATCTGTGAGACTTCAGCAAGCAGTCCAACAAAACAAACAACTGATCAGGCGATAAATAATGGAACATTCCTAAAGTGACCTTGGCCGGGGGGTCCAGGGATGTGCTTGAATCGTTTCGGTGCGAAAGATGGGCGGCGGGAATGGACGATGATGATTGTGATGTTGGAGGAGGTGTTAGTGGAATTGGAGATGGTGATGATGATGATTGGTGGTTCGCAGTGTTGTTGTATTGCTGTGTGTGCTGGTGACTCTGGCTGGGTGACTGATGGTGATGAGGATGGTGGTGATGATGAGGAGGATGATGATGATGTTGTTGTTGTTGGTGGTGATGCATTGGTAAGTCATCCTGTTTTGGAAGGGTAAAAATTAGCATTATTTGTGAGGCCCAATTTCTGACACGACCAACCAATCAACTAGCCGGCCAGCCAACCAATCAACCAACCTTTGCAGAAGCCTGATTCTCCGCATCTTCTTTCTTACTGGTTGTAGGGTAGAACAAAATATTATCGATCGTCTGGATGAGTTCCAATTGGACGACACATTTTATGAGGAGGGAATTAAATAGGTCATGGTCACTTATGGCTTCTGTGATTGGTTGGTGAAAGGAGCCAATTAAATTACATCATCATCAACAACAACAACAACAACAACAATAATAATAATATTTACAAAACAAGAGCAAAAATAATAACTATTCTTGGACATCCTTCTCGTCTGGTCACTTGATCCAATGCTCGATAAGCTGACGTCACTTTGTTTACGTTGATGTTGTTGATGTTGTTGTGGTTGATGTTGTGGTTGATGTTGTTGTTGATGTTGTTGTTGATGGTCCTGTTGTTGAGTCGATGATGAATCTGTCGATTCGTTCGGAACAATGTCCTGAAATTTATCACCATTAATCGTATCGTATTTTTCATCACCATCGTCATCTTCTTCATCGTCATCAACAACAACATCATCATCACCATTATCATCAACAACAACATCATCATCATCATCATCAACAACAACGTCATCATCATCATCATCATCATCATCATCATCACCTCTTCAGCCATAGATATATTTAGTTGATCGGTGGAACTGTGGTTTTCAGGTCTCCAAGTTAACAATCTTCAGTGAGTAAGGAAAATGAGTGAATGACGGAGTAAGTAATAAATGAATGAATGAATGTGCAAGTGAATGAGTGAATGAATAAATTTGTGAATGAATGAATGAATGTGCAAGTGAATGAGTGAATGAATAAATTTGTGAATGAATGAATGAATGTGCAAGTGAATGAGTGAATGAATAAATTTGTGAATGAATGAATGTGAATGAAACGGTGTCATATATCAACATTAGCAGCTTCATCTACATTCTACATAGTCATCGTACCATCTAACCATCATCATCATCATCACCCAACAATCATCATCATCACCTAACAATCGTCATCATCACCCTATCAATCATCATCATCATAACTGACTCATTAGGAATGGTGTTTTGGAATATTAGCGACATACAGGCACAGGCTTCTTCCCAAGCATTTTCGGTAAACCTCTCCCCATTCGAGATCACAAAATTCTCCAGGCAATTTGTTCCCGATCGAGCCAACTGTTCATTATCTGTGTGTGTGTGTGTGTGTGTTCGTATGTATGTTTGTGTATGTGTTTATATGTTTGTTTATGTGTTTGTTTGTATGTGTATGTGTGCCCTATTCACGGATCCAATTCTAATCTGTGGCATGTTGATCATGCTTTGTTTAAACGATAGTAACATAAAGGACAGCAAACACAAAACCAAACCACCACCAACAACAACAACAACGACGACAACAGCCACAGTGAGTGGCTGCCATACCTTGCTGCACACACCACAGCAGCTGCTCGTACAGCTGCTTCGACAAGACGCCACTGAGGACTTCATAGTACTGGCTGAATACGTCGACAATTGCGTAGAGGGCATGGTTGCATGTCGTTGTCATCCACTCTGCTTTCTGATTGGTTGGCGTGAGTGTATGTTGTCTTCTTGTTTGTGATTGGATGGTTGGTATGTGGTATGGAGTGTGTGTGTGTGTGTGTGTGTGTGTGTGTGTGTGTGTGTGTGTGTGGTGTGTGTGCGTGTGTGTGTGAAGCGACATGGAAGGAGAATGATGAAATTGAAGAAATTGAAGATATCATCTTATAACTCTTATCACCAAATTGCCATCATCACCTCATGCTGGGACTCCGGAAGTTTCATGTTATCAAAGATCCTGAATATGACTTTGAATGCGTCGTTCCACCATTTCGAGAGGAATGTGTCGCCGTAGGACTTCAAAATTTCAAACATTACCGTCAGACCTCTGGTGGATGAATGAGTGAAGGTAGGATGGAATAAATGAATGAATGAATAAATGAATGAATGAGTAAATAAATAAATGAGAGAATGACTGAATTAACGATTCAATGGAAAAAAAGGAAGGAAGGAAAGAAAGAAAGAAAGAATTAGTGAGAAATCGAACGAACGAACGAACGAACGACTCGATAAAAAAATGAATGAGCTCAAAAACATTTTATTGAAAGAATGAATCAATGAATAAAAAAACGAATTAAAATATGAATGTGTGAATGTGTTAATGTATGTATGAATGAATGAATGAACGAATGAATGAATGAAAGAGCGAACGAAGTAATCATCAAACCAACCTAGTCCTGACATCAAGTTTACATCTACTGATGACGCAAGAAAGTTCGAAGAGGACAGGGAACCAACCCCTGGCCCACAAACGATCCTCTTCCGATACGTTCATCAGCTGCTCCTGGTCTCCGGAATGTTCAAGGAATAACTGGTTGGTTGATTGTTCGTTCGTTCGTTCGTTTGTTTGTTTGTTTGTAATTTAACCGTTAATCTTTTAATCAAAATATACCAATATATCGATCAACATTACCAACCAACCAGTCAGTCAGTCAGTCAGCCAGCCAGCCAACCAACCAACCAACCGACCAACCAACCAACCAATCAACCGACCAACCAACCGACCGACCAACCAACCGACCGACCGACCAACCAACCAACCGACCAACCGACCAACCAACCGACCGACCAACCAACCGACCGACCAACCAACCGACCGACCTGGGACTTCTCGACGACATATTTAGCACAGTGCCTCATCAGCCTGATGGCCTCCATGCTGGTGTCTGGAAACATGGAGTTGCAGGCAAACTCCGACAAACACTTCACTGCATCCTGAAATGAATCGATCACCGCGCTGAAATGTTTCTCGAAGATGCTGTCTGTCGAGGAATTATATTTTAAATTTGTTGGAAAATTATTTTTAAAATATTTTCCGACGTCCAATCAAACCCGATGGGCTGACAACGACAACTGTTCATCGTCCAATCCTAACAAACCAGCATAAACAACCGACCAATCAAACTCGGCCGAGACAACCAGATGCCGTCCAATCACAACCAACTTATAATCTTCCCAGTGGTCTGGAATGCCAGGTCGACAGTGGCTTCATCATGATCGGAGGCGGCCAAATGAAAGACACTAAATATATTTTTCCAGCCGGATTTGATGTTCGGCGCTTGCGAGTTCACCATCTGCGCCACGCACCTCACCACCATGTCGCGTATGTTTGCTGATCTGATAGATGCATGGATGAATGGATGGATGAATGAATGGATGGATGCAAGGATGTATGCATGGATGAAGAAACTAAGAAATTAAATAAAACAGTTTGAGAGAGAAAAAAGAGAGAATGGAATTATAAATGAAAATTAATTAAAGAGACCCAGACAACATCAATCAATGAAGGACGCTGTATAGAAACACGGAACGAAACGAACTGGCTCAGTATGTAGCACAGAGCAGTCTGCCAACAGTTACAAAAACCAACCAACTCATCTCGTCATCTTATGTACAGAACAGAACAACATACGATACCAAAAACCCCACAAAAACACCATCACAACAAACAAAAAAAACACACACACACACCCCAAAGAGTCAACATTAACAACGACCCCTAACGCACCTGTTCTTCTTCATAATGAACTCAAAAGGCCTGAGGAAATCTTTTTGAAATCTGAAATTAGCAAACTCGCCCTTCTCGATGAACTTCATAGAGAGCTGTCGCAGGGAGTCGATGGCGAAGAAGACGACGTCCTCGTTCGGATTGCAACCGACGTTGTTGAAGTGCTCGCCTATGTACTGCCAGATCCTCGACCACTGAAGCCTGGTTGTGTGTGTGTGTGTGTGTTTGTATGTATGTATGTATGTATGTGTATGAATGTATGTTCGTATGTATGTTTGTTAGTGTGTATGAATGTATGTTCGTATGTATGTATGTATGTGTGTGTATGAATGTATGTGTGTGTGTGTGTGTGTATGTGTGTGAATGTATGTGTGTATGCGTGTATGAATGTATGTATGTGTGAATGTATGTATGTGTATGTATGTATGTATGCATGAACCCATAATTGATTAGAACTATAAGGAAGTAATAATCATATCCGGGTTCAGCTTTAATCTATATTAAACGCTTAACACAGACAGGTATTTTGAGCCTTTGGATAAAAACAAGAGCTAAGAAACTATCATTTGCAAGTATTTCAGTTCGCTTTCACCAACATCCTTAACCGCATCATCATAATCATAATCATCATCATCATCGCCATCACCACCGCAATCATCATCACAACTGACCTAATCCTGCCCATATTATAGTATGAGATTTCGACGATTTTCTGGAGACTAAACATCCTTGGGTGGCTCACACTCGACAGTTCCTCTACGGACACACTGCACAAGGCCTTCACGAATTCAACTGATTGTTGTTTGGTGGGTTGGTTGGTGGTTAACTTGTTGGTTGATTGATTGATTGATTGTTCAGTTGGTTGACTGATTGAGTGGATTTTTTATTAGACGATTTGTTGGTTAGAGCGGTTTCACAAATTCGACTGATTGGCTGGTTGATTGACTGATTGGTTGATTGACTGATTGGTTGATTGACTGATTGGTTGATTGACTGATTGGTTGATTGACTGATTGGTTGATTGACTGATTGGTTGATTGACTGATTGGTTGATTGACTGATTGGTTGATTGTCATTTAGGCGTTTTGTTGATTGAGGATTTTGTCGTTTAATCATTCAATAACCTTAGCTGTCAGCAACAACAACAACAACAACAACTCCATCAACAAACAAGCAACAACAACGTCATTATGATCTACATAAATTAACAATGAATGAATGAATGAATGAATGAATGAATGAATGAATGAATGAATGAATGAATGGATGGATGAATGGTTGAATGAAATGAGTGAATGAATGAACACCAACAACAACAGCAACGACAACAACAGCAGCAGCAGCAACGACAACAACAACAACAGCCAAACTCCACCAATAGCATCTCCGTCCAGCTTGATGGATCCGGTAAATATTCGGTCGACTGCTACCACAACACTCTGCGAACTCGTCTCTTCCATCGATTCCTGCATGGCACGCACATCCCTACGACTATTACCAGCACCGCCTCGAGAGAGAACTGGATGAAAATTAGTGAGAGTGACTGTACGATGAAGATGGCGATGACGACGTCATGGTAGGTAGTAATGATCATAATAACGTCGGTGATGATGATGGTCAATGACTATTTAAGAATTTATTCTTATCATTGTTTTTGGTTCCACGTGCTCATGAGAATTATATAGTCACCATTTTCATCATCATCATCACTCCATCAGCATCATCATCATAATCACAACCTTCCGGATCAAAAACTTCAGAGTTCGGATGATGAGAACCATAACCGCCGCCCCCACTACCGCTACCACTGCCAGCAGCACCACTTCCTCCTCCTCCCCCAAAGGTCAAGGACGACGATGACGTAATGTACCTAGTTTTAACGAACGAGCCAATCAGCTGAGCAAGTTCTAGCTGCGATATGCACTTCAAAACCTGATTGGACGATGCAAAATTATTTAATCACATGCTGATTGGTCAATTCAAAAACACCTAATCATCATCATTATCATCAACAACCTCTCTTCACCACCAACCGACCAACGGCATGATCACAACCATCACAGCCCCAACCCCAACCTCGTGCCAGGACTTCCCCAGATAATTCCCGTCGGTGTGAGCCACGGAGATGAGGGTCTTGATGGTGTCGATATTTTTAGATTTGATTTCAGTGATGGGCGAGGTTGCTGAGAGGAGTGTGAAGCGCGAGAGGGCCTGCACGTACGCATCACGTTCCAGCTGCAATTTTAAGACACACCAGGCCCCCAATTACGTCATCAATTATCATGATTGGCAGTGGAAAAAAAAATTCTCGCTTCAGCATTTCTTACAGGTGTCAATAAATACACTGTATGCAAATGCAGATACACTTGGACTGACCAATCATATCAGTGAATGTTGGGCATGCATGTTGGGGATGTTCTTGCATTCGAATCCAGTCACTGCAGCAGCAGCAGCGCCAGCCAGACACCTTAAGCACTACACCATCACCAAACAGACGCAACAACGTCAACAGTAGCTACTACCTCCATATGGAAAACACAAGAGATCCTGATGGCGCATCTTATACCATCTAAACACACGTTCGCAATCGTCTGGTCGTCGCAGTCCTGAAGACCGACACTGAATGCCGCCAGCAGAGGGGTCCAGGCGATCTGTTGATTAGTGAAATTAGTGAAGTAAGTCGAACATCACCATACCACACCACGCCAGGCCACACCAAGCTACACCACACCACACCACACAACAACAACGGCAACTCCAGTAACCTACCAACCTTAAACATAGGCCTGACATGTTCAAGATGAGTTGCACTGGTAAAGTTGGACTGAACATGACTGACTGACTCCATTAAGGCCTTAGCTGCATACGCCATGTGTTCCATCTCCATGTTGTATAAGAGTCTTCTTTGTCGCTCTGTCATTCCCGCTGTGTGTGCGCGCGCGCGTGTGTGTGTGTGTGTGTAGTGTGTACGTTTGACTGTATGTAGAAGCAGTAGGTGTTGTACAAGTAGGAAAGGTATTATTTAGCAGTTATGAAAAATTTTCGAATGTATGTGGTTCATTTTTTTTTTAAACATAACTCGAACTGTCATTGTAAAGCTTGAATTCAAATATGAAGTAGTGGCAGTATAAACAAGCAACAACAGCAGTAGAAGCGAAAGTTAAAAACAAACGAAAAAATAAAAAACCCAAAAAAAGATAAACGAACAGGCAGGGGTTTTTTGAGTGGGCGGTGCCGTCGGCTTCATCTTGATCTGGTTGTCGGCGATTTCGTCATAGATGGCCGAGAGGTACTCCTCAGGGAGGTCCCTGCTGTCGTTGATGCCCCTGTTCATGCGGATGTACTGGGCCTTCGTCATCTTGTGGCGCACCTGTGCAGGCAGGCGATGGTCGTGTGGTTGGTAGTTGTTAGGTGGCCGTGTGAAGCAAGCGAGGCAACGACAACGACGACTGTGATAATGATGGTGATAATAATGATAATGATGACGAAAAAAATCACTTACTTGAGAGCTGTGCAGATCAGTAGTGAGCATAATGATGGAGTATGCTAATACGTAGGCTGTATCTGCACTGCTGAATATTCCCAGGCTATAATGAGCAAATAAATTTTAAATAATTTATTCATGACAAGTCGGACAGGTTAAAATTAAACGGCAAACATTGTGAATGAAGAATGAATGTGAGAGACAACAGACACATGAATTGAATAATGAGTTCAGTATGCAAATTCAATATGCAAATATGCAATATATATGCAAATATTAATATACATGTATATATAAGGGTGATTTAATTACGCGAATGAGGTTGAGTTAATAATCAAAACGGGGCCAAACAAACTATGCATAATTGAGAGAATGAATAAATTATGTTAATGATCTTACGACGGATTGCATTCACAGTATCGAGAGGCGAATTTCTCCATCAATCTGTCTATCTTCTGGGCCTCACCTGGCAGTCTAAAACCTAAAAATAATAATAATAATAATGATAATAATAATAATATAATATAATAATTTTAAATTATTTTAAATTATTTTATGACTAGCCTTCGAGAAATTTCCTGAGAGCAGGTACAAAGTCCATGTCTGAGAAGTCAAAATGGTCAATATAGGAGTACATGACCTCTTTGTTGAACCTGCCAGTCAGTCAGTCAGTCAGTCAATCAATCAATCAATCAATCAATCAATCAATCAATCAATCAATCAATCAATCAATCAATCAATCAATCAATCAATCAATCAATCAATCAATCAATCAATCAATCAATCAATCAATCAATCAATCAATCAATCAATCAATCAATCAATCAATCAATCAATCAATCAATCAGTCAATCAATCAGTCAGTCAATCAATCAATCGATCAATCGATCAATCAATCAGTCAGTCAGTCAATCAAAATTGTAAATTGATTGGACAGATATAAAGAAACATAAAACTTGTCCAACTTTTCATTTTCTCCAAGAAAATCTCCAAGGACGTGCTGGAGAAATATTTTTTAAAAGAGTAAAACAATGAACGAATGAAGAAAACAAAGAAGAAATGAATCAACCGACCAACCGACAAACCAACCAGCCAACCAACCAATCAACCAGCCAACCAACCAACCAGCTTAACTAACCAACCAACCAATCAACCAACCAATCAACCAGCCTTATCTAATCTTTCGTCATTATGAAAGAACTCCGCGATATCATGGGCGGATGTTCCTAGAAGGCCCTGTTCTTGCAGGTACATTATACCCTTTCTAGGTCTCTTGTTGAAACTGAATGACGTCATTGTTGTCGTCATCACCACCATTATCATCATCATCATCGTCGTCATCATGATTATTATCATCATTATCAAAGGGGTCGTCCTTATTACCATCGTCATCATCACCATCATCATCACTATCATCACCACTACTAACTAATCAATTCCATTCTCCCATAGTTCTTTCTGCTGTTTCCGTACTTCAAATAATTCTAAATTGTGATTGGTCGACGAAGAGGATGAATTAAGCCCCGCTCCCCCCATTGCTGAGGTCTGATTGGCTCCCGCCAACCCTGCTGCTCTCTCATTGGCTACAGAAGAGCTGAGGGAGTTGATACTATCGCAGCTGGTGATCGTACCCTTGCCCGAGTCAGAGTCCACTTCTAAGCTCGTGTCGGCCGCTGTGATGATGGAGATGATGATGATGGAGATGATGATGATAATGACGAAGGTGAAGTTGGTGCTGATGATGATAAGACGATGCTTGAAAATAAACTGATGACAGAGATGACGATGATGAACATGGCGATGACGACAATTCCGGCGAAAATAATAATGAATGTCGACTGATAAGAATGAAGGAACATCTTCCTCATCATCCTCATTTCTCCAACTCACCCAGAGTGGATTGAGAATCGGGATTGGTGTATATATCCCGACTCCACTCGACCATGCACTTCAATATGGAGACCAGACATTCCAGGCCCTTCACCCTCATACTCTTTTCCTGATTGGCTGTCGCTCCTTCAGCAAATGAACGTGATTGGACGATGATTGGATGGGTCAAATTAAATAGGTCAAACATTAGTTAACATTTCATCTTTCGTGGCCAGTAAGTGCAGATTATATTGATTGGCGTTTGAACATTTAACAATTCAATCCAACTACAAAAAGCCATGCCATGTTCATTCATGACCCAGAGAAAAAGAGAGCAAGAAAGAGTGAAAGAGAGAGAACTAAATCTTAATCTAAAGCAGAAAGAGGGAGGGAGAGAGAGAGAGAGAGAGAGAGAGAGAGAGATAAAAATCTTAACATAACAGAATCACCGGCGCAAAAATGTAAGGAACAGGTTATGTCACAGATGATTGGATTGAAAAAGTGAGAGTGAGAGATAAGGAAAGAGAGAGATCAAGAGAGATCAAGAGAGAGAGAGAGAAAAAAAACGAGATATCTTAATTGGGTCACCAGCATGAACAATGAACTGACCTAATTCGATGGCCTGTCGGCCCTGGGCAATCTTCGAGAGGTCGTGAATGAGTCGCTCGAAAATGTTGGCAGACGACAAATCGCAATCGTAGTTGACGTAAATGTCTACCACGCATTGGGCGTCTGATTGTTTGTATGTTTGTATGTTTGTTTGTATGTTTGTTGTGTGTATGTGTCATACTCTGTCATCTTGAACCACGGTCATAACTTGATTGAAGTAAAAGAATTTTCCGAAAGGTACAAAAACTCGCTATCACACTTTGTTAACAGATCTCAGGCAGCTGTTCAACATTTTTTCGGCAAATTTTTCTCAATTAAAAACATTTGTGAACTAAATATCGAAAAGTACTTTAAAATCAATTAAAAATTTACAACCGTAACTTGATTTTTGTGAAAGCATTTTCTAAAAGAAGTCACTGCATGATCAACAACCGACCTATCAGCCAACGAAACATTATGAACCATACAACCAACCAACCAATTAACCAACCAACCTTCCATCCAACCATCCATTCAACCAACCAACCATCCATCCAACCAACCATCCAACCAACCAACCAACCAACCAACCGTCCATCCAACCAAACAACCAACCGTCCATCCAACCAACCAACCAGCCAACCAACCAACCAACCAACCAACCAACCGTCCATCCAACCAACCAACCAACCGTCCATCCAACCAACCAACCAACCAACCAACCGTCCATCCAACCAACCAACCAACCAACCAACCAATCAATTAACCAACCAACCAACCAATCAATTAACCAACCAACCAACCAATCAATTAACCAACCAACCAACCAATCAATTAACCAACCAACCAGCGCAAATTTTAACGAGGGCTTGAACGACCATCCATTTATGTTCAAAACTGGACGTCGGTGATTCCAAGATATATAAAAAGATTTCTTTGAAGAAAACCTACATATGTGTTGTGGTTGTTGTTGTTGTTGCTGTTGTTGCTGATGTCACCATGATGAAGATGTTGTTGTCACGGTGGTTATAATGTTGCTGTGATTTAATGGGATCATATGACAAAAACCAGTCAGCAGAGTCGACTAACCGACCAAACACAACAAACCTCGATTTGCATTTTTAAATGCTGCTTAAACTTGCTGAGCAGACTCAAGAATATGGCCAACGACAACTCGAACACCCCCTGAACAGGACTGACTCCATTTTTTGAGAGGGCCACGCACAGATACTGCTTGATAGCGTTTATGAACATCTCGTTCGACTGGAAAACCGGTCCGGAGTTTTGCAGGATGGAGAGAAGGAGCTGCAGTGAGAGGATCTTTGAACGTAACTCGTGAGATCTGCAGTAGTTCAGTGAGAGTGTGTGCGTGTCAGTGTGTGTCGTCGTGTCAGTGTATGTGTGTTTGTGTGTGTGTCGTGTGTGTATGTCGAAATGTAAGTGAGTGAATAATGTGTGATAGAATGAAAGTGAAAAATAAACGAGTGAGGAAAATGGATTCTTAAAAATAGAGAAGATAGAGAAAATGAAATGAAAAACAGAGAGAGAAAGAGAGAGAGAAAGAGAGAGAGAGAGAAAGAGGGAGAGAGACGCACCTCTAAGTAACAATGAAGATTTAAAAAGAAATTGTCTCAAAATAAAAAAAAAACTGAACAACACATGATGCCTGACGAATGAATGAAACGTAAGAAAATAAAGAACAAAATTTATTTATTGAAATTAATCAATAAAACTATCTTCTTCATCGTTTATTCATACTCCCTCTCTCTCCCTCTCTCTCCCTCTCTCTATCTCTCTCTCTCTCTCTCTCTCTCTCTCTCTCTTTCTCACTAACTTAGGTTCAGGTGGTCCATCGGCTAGAGGTTTCATTGAGAGTTTGCATAGACTTCTGAAGACGAGGAATGCATCCTTTTGAAGAATGTGGCTGAAGAGTTCGCTGCTGTTGCTGCTGATTTGTGTTGCTGATGTTGTTGTTGTTGCGTTGTTCTGTGTTGTTGTTGTTGATGGTGGTGATTGTACTGTTGATGAGGTTGCTGTTGGCAGTGGTGATGATGCTTTTGAGATTTCCGTATCTTCTGCTGGGTCTGGTGGCGAAGTTTGCAATGGTGTTAAGTACGCGCGCGCGTATGTGTGTGTGTGTGCATGTGTATGCAAGTTAGACAAAGAAATGCCAACAAACCAAAGATATATAGTAAAAATAAGTGATGATTAACAATAATAATAATAATAATAATCATCATCATCATTATCATCATCGTCGTGGAAGTATCATCATCATAATTATCGTCGTCAGCATTATCATCACCAACTTTCTTTCTCCTCCACTTTTCCTTCCATCTCTCCATCAACGACGATGACGTCACCGTTACAATCTGCCATTCATTCATTCATTCATTCATTCATTCATTCATTCATTCATTCATTCATTCAGTCATTCATTCATTTATTCATTCATTCGATCATGACATCAAACAATAAATGAGTGAAAATAATGAAATAAAAAAGATTTATTTATTTTACTAACAAAATATTTTGATTTAAAAATCTAAATGAATGAAAGAATGAATGAATGAATGGATGAATGAATGAGTGAACGAAAAAATAAATAAATAAATGAATGAACGAACAAATAAACAAATGAACGAACGAATGAACGAATGAATGAATAGAACAAAGGAAGAAATGAGAACATACTTGAAAAAATATTATCAATCACTCCATCAATGACTGATCTGACTATAGTCGCAGTCGCATTCAAATCCACCGACGTAGACAACAGCGATTGGTCCGTGGCTTAGGAATTTTTTGCATAAATTAACATAAATTATAAAAGTCACTTTTGAATAAATGAAACAACCACCGACATTCCTACACTTGTGTATTTTCAAAATCATAAAATCACAATGCATATGTTTACAATGACATTTTTAAGACAATACATCTGTCAAGAAATATCTGATGATTTTCAGCCACAAATTTATGCAAAATTATGCTAATAAGTGAAAAATAAACGTGAATTTATGCAAAATTTATGCCAAATGATAAGCTATCACACGCAAATTTATGCTAATACATGCAGATTTACGCTAACATGTGCAAATATATGCCAATTTATGTTTATATATGTGTGATGTGTGAAAACGCAGAAATTGATGCTAATTCTATAATGAATCAATGTGAATAAATGTCATTACATTCACTTAACGTTGCCGTGCTGACATCAACAGACTCTCCATTCGTTGTTATGGTGATCTGATGAAGATGATGATGATGTCGGTGATGATGATGATATCGGTGATGGTAATAGTGATGGTGATGGTCAGTGTTGGGTAAGATTTGAACCCAGATGACTCAAGGGCATCCTTTGAGTCATTCACAAACAAAGCATACATACATTTTGAACTTCACCATCATCATCGTCGTCGTCATCATCATCAGTATTTTACATGATCATCATCACCATCATCATCGTCATTATCATTCATCAGCATCTTAAATCTGACCTGAGAAAGGTTATCCTCCTGATTAGCAGAGGAATCATCATCATTATCATCACCAGCTCTCCTGCCGTCATCATTATCAGCACCACCATCCTGAAGTCTGACCCCACGCGGGGGCAACGACCCGCCCTGGCCGCCATAGTAACTACTACTATCATCATCCGCAGTTGTTGTTGTTGTAGTGGTAGTTGTGTTTGTAGTTGCTTCAGCATTGTTATGCTGCTGCTGAGTTTGAAAGAATGAGTGAGTGAAAAAAAAGAGTGATTTAATAAATGGATGAATGAATGAATGGACGAACGAATAAATGAATGAATGAATAAACTAGGCAACAAAAAATATATAAAAAAGAAAATTAAATTGAAAATTAAAAAAAAAATATAGAAACCCCTTGACTTTCCATCCTTGAAAAGATGACATTGAGCATCTGGGTCAGGGTGGCCTTTGCCGTGGTCTGGTTTACTAAATTCTTACTGGCCAGGTAGATATTGTAGCATGTTCTGACAGCCAATAGGATCGTCCCTTCGTGAATCTCGCATGTATTGGCTGTTACTATCGTTAGCAGCGCCTGTGAGGATAAGAGTAACGAAATTTTTGATAAAAAAAATATTACAAAACAAATATCACAACCCTAATTCACTAACTTTAATGATCTGCAGCTGAACGCCTTCGTCAGTTTGGGGCCCAGTGAAACAGTTGCAGATGACCTCGACGATCCTGTCAATCAAACGCTTGTTGGGTACCGTAGGGTCGGGGCTATTGCCAGTGAGGTGGCCGTACGCGATTAGTTTCTGTGATCAGGACAGTCATTCAGTAAGTAAGTAAGATGTAATTTAACCAATTTATCAAACAATTAAAAAAATTATTTTTGTCAGTCAACAAGCTAATCAATCAATCAATGTCAATCAATCAATCTCAATCAATCAATTAATAAATCAATGTCAATTAATCAATCAACCAAAATCAATCAACCAACCAACCTGCAGACAATCCAAAGAAGTATTAATCATTTTAGCACTCTTAGAATTGCACGCCAACTCGAACGGCAGAAAATATTTATCCGTTTCTACGGAGCCCATCGCTTTAGATTTTGGAGTGGGCAGCGTCGAAGATAACTCCAGAGAACTAATAAATTATATATTACAATGATGAATTGTAATGCATTATACGTGTAATGAATTATGCATTGTATCATATGAATGATGTAAATATAGTAACTCCACAGAGCTAATGAATTATGTGACTTAAAGATTGCAACAGCAAAATTTCTTTATAATTTAAAGAGGAATTGATTTTTTTATAATTATAACAACGCAACCAATACATTTAACAAAAAATTAATAAAAAATAATTATAATAAAGAATTAATTAATATTAATTAATTAATTATTAATAATAAAATTTTAAAAATATGATAACTGTGTGTGTCTAACTTATTGAGTTGATTGTCATTCTTGATATCATCTAGAGAGAAATAATTTTTTAAAAAATCATGGAAATAAATTAATCTAAACAAACAAACAGACAAACAAACATAAACAGACAGATAAACAAACAGCAAACAAACAAATAGACAAACAGACAGAAAAACACTACCAGTAAACATTCATAGTAATTATACTAAATCAAACTAAAAGCAACTTTTATCATTCTTGAAAGAAAGAACAATGCAATACTACAACTAATACTTTAAAGAGTTTATTAATATTAAAACTATTATAACTACTTAACTTTTGCTACTGCTACTACTACTGCAACAACTACTACTACTACTTTAATTCCCTTTCTCTCTCTCTCTCTCTCCTCTCTATCTATCTTTCTGATGACATATAATATGAAAATAAATAAGATAAGTGACTTATCATAAGTCATATATTGTAAGTTTAGAACTTAAATTATAAAATATATTAAAAAAAAAAATGACCCACCTAAAGCCGCTTCACAGGCCTTTTTCAGCTGGAAGTGGTGGGATTTTTTTATCTCCCGATCGGAGAGGATTTTTTCAAGGGCTCTTGTAATGAACATTTCCTGGGCTGGTTTCTGCTCTCGCATCTTTCTCAAACAGCTGCCTAACTCCAAAACTAAACTAAACCCAGAATAGAATAGAACGATGTTACTCTAGTAATCTTGTTGTGGGTAGTTACTTATTTATGAATTTATTTAGAAAATGAATGAAATTAAATTATTAAAATTAATTAAATATAAAGTTTTTTTTACAATTTGGAATAAAAGTACCTGTTTTATTAACTTTGTCCAGTGATTATCGCGGTAGAGCGAAATAAAAACTATAATACAATTTGTCAGTTAGTGTAACAGATTAGTGTAAATTAGTTGGATGAAAACAACTTCAGTTGAATGAACGCTATAAAATACCTTTAAATCGCCATAAATGTTTTCATTCACGTAAGCTATAATCCATTTTTTAAACAGTCACGTGCATTTAAAAGTTAAAAACGTTTAAAAGGTTTAAAATCTCATTAAATTACTTTATTTAAAAATATATATATATATAGGATAACTTAACATGAGTTGAAAAAATTAAAATAATTATATTTATGTAAATTTGTCTGAAACTAATTATATTCAACAAAGTAGCAAAATGATAGTGCATTCTGTTTAAAGTTGTTTAAATGCTTAAATAACAACAGCTAAACAACGTTTCTCATGTTTTTTTTATTTTTATTAGAATGTTAAATAAATTGTTCTAAATTTATAATAAGAAAATAAATAATAACCAAATTGCATTTTTAAATTTTTGAAATTCAAATAAATGTATTATAATTTATTCTTCGTGTACATGTACACATACGTCTGGTTTTTCTTTGTTTTGTTAACGGAATTAAATTAGTTAAAATAAAGTTATTTTTATTTAAATCCAAATTATTTATATTCAAATCTTATTATTATTCCAAAAAATAAAATTCTATTTTTTGAAGAAAATATTTTTAGGCATAAAGCGAGTACTTTTTTATGAAATTTTTGAAAATTTTTGAATCCTAATGCCATGGACTCTTTTTTCTTGACTGGAAAAAATTAGGAAAGCCAGCGAAGGGGGGGACTCGGGAATCAAATCAGAGGACCCAACTCCGGCTGTCAATCAAATTAAAAACGGAAATAGAGAAATTGAATTTAAACTATTGAAATAAAATAGTCTACTGCTGTTATTTTCGTTTTTTAATTAAATTAATTAAAAATATTATATTTGTAAAAAAAAGTATTAAAATAATCTGATTAAATTTTAAATTAAAATAAAAAAATTCATGGATCCGTTTTTTGAAAGGCGTCTGATTGAGGTGCAGAATGGTCAGGGCTCACTGAGTACCACTGTAAGATTTTTTATAAACTTTTAATAGTTTTAATAATTAAAACTATTAAAATTTAATTTAAACTTGAAGTTAAATTATTATTATAATTAGATTAAATAAATTAATTTACTAATTATTTTAATATATATTATTTATAATTTGATATTAATAATCAGTAATTGTTAAATTTGCTGCTTAAAATTTGGCAAAAATAATGAAAATTAATACAGAATAATTATTTATAATAAATGTAGATAGAATCTGATAGATGATAGATATTTTTTTCTTAATTTAATAATCAGTTTATTTTTTTAAATTAAAAATTTTTGAAAAAGTACATTCTTTCAAGATTTATTTATTTAAATTTAAAGACTATTTTTAAAATGTTAGCCCCAAAAAAGTCCGATGAAAGATGGCTTTGGCGACAGGTTCATACCAATTAGGAGTAGGGCAGTATGGAAGATTAACTTTGATGCCCCGGTTAGGGTTAGGTTTTTTCCAATTTTGACAATTTTTTATTTAAACTAACACTGTTTTTAAAATGTTAAAACAATAAAATTGTCACAATTAGCAAATCTGTTAAATAAAAACATTTACTCAGCAGCCCCAAAAACTAATTTAAATACAAAACAGGGAGAAAACCAATTAGGCGACAACAGCCTCTCCACGACGACATCGAACGGAAATGTGGCCAACAATGCGACACCATCTCCGACTAATCGATCGACAATCGGGGGAACGTCAGGTAGTCCAAAGAGGGGGTCTGAATCCTCAACTATCCGCCACAATGCCACCTACTCCTGCCTACTAAAGAATGAATTGTTAGGAATGGAGATCGACGAGGTAAAAGGTAGCGACAGTTGTGATGGGGAGCTTGGGGGCTGGGATAAAGGTTATTCGGGTAATGGTAGGTGTCCTGCCGGGGGAAATAGGGATGTGCTGCAGCAGATGAACGCCAAAGATAATAAAAATCTGTTTCATGTAGGTTCTGAGAATTTATTCGCTATTTTTGGCTTACCTTCAAAGCAATTCAACTTATTTTCTTCAAATTGTTAAAGTATTTCGACAATTTGTTATAAATTTATATATAATCATAATTATTTATTAATTTATTACAGTATAGCCTGCCCAACAGCAGTCCGGGCTCCATAGAATCCTCTCCCTACTCTCTCTCCCCTGTCGGGAATAAGAGTCAACAACTGCTCTGCTCTCCTAGAAAAGTGAGATAGTGATGTTGATGACGTGAGAGGGAGAGTGATGCTGTTTGGAGGAGGATGATAATAGTGGTGATGTGGGTGGGTGATTATCAATATCCCACCCTTCTCTGATTTTTAAAATTTTTCCACCCTATTCTTATTTATTTAAATAAAATACTCCTTCCATCTCTAAAATTTGAAAAAAAAAACTCTAAATATAGATGGCCAGGAAAATTCCGAAGGTACCGTACAAAGTTTTGGATGCCCCGGAACTTCAGGATGATTTTTATTTGAATTTAGTCGATTGGTCATCACAGAATGTTCTCTGTGTTGGTCTGGGCTCATGTGTTTATCTCTGGAATGCTTATACCAGTCAGGTGTGTTTGTGTGTGTGGTGTGTGTATTTTTTGTTCCACAAGCTGTTGGTATATATATTTTCATATATTATTGATGAAAATCACAGCTTATATATTTTTCTCTCTGTCTCTCTCTCTCTCTCTCTCTCTATATATATATATATATATATATATATATATAATATTTTAATATATATAAAAGAAAAAAAAATATATATAAGTCTCTTTAATTAATTTATATTTGCTATCCACACTTAAGCAGTTATTCATCTTGTAACTTATAACTTGTGATCTAGACGTAAAGTTATGAATATTATAATGAGCTGATGCATATTCAAATATGATTGGTTGGATAATTAATTAATTAATTAGGTGACCCGTTTATGCGACCTTTCGTCTGAAGTCGACACAGTTACATCCGTCGCCTGGAATGAAAAGGTCACTACTAAATTTTCATTACTACTACTGCTAAAACTACTACCGCTTCTACTACTACTCTTGAGGCCGCTACTGTTACTACAGCTGCTATTAGCGCTACTACTTTTACTACTGCTACTACATTTTCCAGGGTAATATGATATCAGTGGGTACTCACATGGGATTTGTTCAGCTGTGGGACGTGGCCACTTCGAAGAGATCCTCTTGTACTTCAGATCATACGGCTCGTGTCGGTAAGTTGATGTTTTTGTTTGTTTGTATGCTTGTTTGTATGCCTGTGTGTGTTTGTATGACTGTTTCTATGCTTTCATGTTTGTTTTCTTTCCTAATGAAATGACATCAACGTCACATACGTTCCGTATATATACTGTACGTACACGAATAAAAAAATGTCCCAGGTGCTCTGGCGTGGAATGGCGACCTGCTAGCGTCGGGCAGTCGGGATCGTAGCATCATTCTGAGGGACACTCGGACGCCGTTCTCGTCCTATGAAAGGAAATGGAATGAGCACAGGCAGGAGGTGGGTTCGAGAAAAGAATTTTTTTTTATCTTTCCCTAAAATTAGTGGAATATTTGGGTGATTGGGTTTTGATTTGCGGGATTTTTCCTTCCATAAAGTTACAAAATGTTCACACAGGGTGTCTGGATTTATGTGAATTTTTTTTCTCATTTCCCTAGAATTAGAAAATTTTTTGTGGGTTGGGGTATTTAGAGATGAGCTGTACGCATTGTGCGTATGATGATGCTAAAGGTTGATGAATGGATGGATTGTCTGATATAGTTGTAGAGTTGCTGTTGATGATGACTTGGTTCATTTTGCTGATGTTGCTTATACTGAATTTCTTTAAAAGTTAAAATGTATCATTTATATAGCGCCATGTATTTGGTTTCAAGAATGTTCTTGATTAGCATTCAAAAAATTTGTATAACATCCCAATTTCGTTATTTTCATCACTGGCGCCCATCACTGTTCCCTAATTTCAGGTGTGCGGCTTGAAATGGTCCCCAGATAAGCAGTATTTAGCGTCAGGAGGTAACGACAACAAGTTGATTCTCTGGACCTTGAGGTCAAACAGTCCTTCCCATACATTTTCTGACCACCTGGCAGCTGTCAAGGCCATTGCTTGGTCACCTCATCAGCATGGTCAGTTGTGGTGATGAAGTGCTTGCTGCTTGTATGATGATCGGATCAGTGTGAGAATGATACACCGACCTAAATGATAGTGGATCGCCGTTGCCATCATACTCACTCAGTCACCGTCATCATTGTTTG